CGCAGTCACAGCCTCAGCCTCAGCCTGCCTCAGCCTCAGCCTCAGCCTGCCTCAGCCTCAGCCTGCCTCAGCCTCAGCCTCAGCCTGCTTCAGCCTCAGCCTCAGTCTGCCTTCAGCCTCGGCCTCAGCCTCAGCCTGCCTCAGCCTCAGCCTGCATCAGCCTCAGCCTCAGCCTCAGCCTGCCTCAGCATCAGCCTGCTTCAGCCTCAGCCTCAGCCTGCCTCAGCCTCAGCCTCAGTCTGCTTCAGCCTCAGCCTCAGTCTGCTTTCAGCCTCGGCCTCAGCCTCAGCCTGCCTCAGCCTCAGCCTGCCTCGGCCGCAGCATCAGCCTGCCTCAGCATTCAAAATGTGGCCCAGGAGTGGAGTTCTGGGAACTAGAAGAACGCGAAGTGGCCTACAGTTGGCTGGCTCCGAGCATTCAAAATCATGCCCAGGAATGGAATTCTGGGAACTTGAAGAACACGAAGTGGCCTACAGTTGGCTCCGGGCATCCAAAATGTGGCCCGGGAGTGGAGTTCTGGGAAATCGAAGAGCACGAAGTGGCCTACAGTTGGCTCCGGGCATCCAAAATGTGGCCCGGGAGTGGAGTTCTGGGAACTCGAAGAGCACGAAGTGGCTTACACTTGGCTCCGGGCATCCAAAATGTGGCCCCGGAGTGGAGTTCTGGGAGGTCGAAGAGCACGAAGTGTGTGACTGTTGACGAAAAACGAGCCCGGCTCTGTTCCCGGTTCTCCAGAATGTGGCCCGGGAGTGGAGTTCTGGGAGGTCGAAGAGCACGAAATGTGTGACTGTTGGCGAAAAGCGAGCCCGGCTCTGTTCCCGGTTCTCCAGCATGTGGCCCGGGAGTGGTGTTCTGGGAGGTCGAAGAGCACGAAGTGTGTGACCGTTGGCGAAAAACGATTCCCGGTTCTCCTCCCCGGCACCCACCCAGACCCTCCTGAGGAGTCATGATGCTCTCTTTTGAGCCTATTAGAAACCTATCAGCAAACGCTGTTAAGTAAAAGTGTACTCACTAGTGACTACTCACTCCCCTCTACTCACTACTCACTACCCAGTGCTGACTACTCACCACTCACCATTCACTACCCACTACTCACTACTCACTACCCACTATTCGCTATCCCCTTGTCACATCTCAGTACCCACTACTTACTACTCCCTACAAACTACTACCTACCCACCTCTGTTCTTGCCACTCACCACTCACTACCCACTACTGCCTACTCCCCACCCACTACTCAGTACTCTCTACCCACTACTCACTTCTTTTAACTCTATACTCGCTAGTCCCTACTCGCTGCTCACTTCTCACTACCCCCACTACTCCCTACTCACTTTGACTACTTACTGCTCACTACTCACTGTTCACTACTCACTACTCCCTACTCACTACTCGCTACTCTCTACTCACTACTCACTATTCACTACTCTCTACTCACTACTTACTAGTCACTACGCGCTACCCACTACCACCTACTCACTACTTACTACTCACCACCGACTATTCACTACCCACTACTCATTATTCAGTACTCCCTCCTCTTTACTCAGTACTCATTATTTATTAGGAGATGCCCCGTCCCCGGCTCTGTCTCCGGCGCAAAAGGGGGGAGGGGGGGGGTTCGACCCCCCCTTTTCCAGCGCCAAGGGGGGGGGGTCGAAGATCTCCCCCCCCTTTGAATGAAAGGGGGGGGGTCCGACCCCTCCCCCTTTTCAATTACAGGGTGATCCAGTGGAGCGCTTTCTGTAATACATCTATATATACACATAGATACATTTGTGTATTTGTTATATTTGATATGTATACACACATGTGTGTACATGTATACTAGACATGATATAATCGGTCCACTTTTGCCGCGCAACTAGCGTGTTCCGCCAGCAGCTTCCGTGCCCATGAAGGCTGCGGAAATCGATGATGCATCCCTTGGGGAGTGTGCAATGCAGGCGTGCGCGGCCGTCCCCGAGCTTTGGGCTCGGCGGCCGAGACTTTGCCTCACGTCCGTTCCGACGGAGGCAGGAACGGAGAAATCTGCCGACTCGGGCTTGCCGGGGGTGACAAGGCGTGTGAGACGATCGGCTGCCACCTTCACCCTTTTCCCCTCCCCCAGGTCCAAAATCCATTTTGAGAAGGGATGGGCCCAGGGGGTCCCTACGAGCCAATCGCCTCCAATATGCCTTGGAGGCCTTCCAATGTTGCTCACAGAGGGCGCCAACACACCCAGAAAGCTCCAATCGCGCCCAATCTGGCCTCAAGACGGCCCAATAGCCCTCCGGGTCACCCCAAGCGGGCTCCAAGATGACCCCCCAAGAAGGCCCCAAGAGGCAAGCATCGCCAAACCCCGTTGGGTCATGGTGCATTTTTGACATGGTCGCTTTTTTGTTTTCGTGGCGTCTGAGACGGCCAACGAGGTCCCCAACATCGCTCCAAAACGGCCCAAGAAGCCCCCAAGAGGCCCCGATGCGGTCCAAGAGGCGCGCAAGACGGCCGAAGAGGGCCCAGAGTCCCAAGAGAGTCGCAAGAGGGGGAAATCACCCAATGTGCCTCAAACGAACCCCCCAAAAGCCAAGAAGCTCCCCGAGGGACCCAAGCTGTCCCCCGGGATCCCTCCAAAGGCTCTTAAGACCCCCCGCCCGAGGCCTCCTAAAGGCTGGCGGAAAGAGCCAGAACAGACACGGCTTAAGGATGTTCGACATGCAATGTGCCACGTGTTGCGTGCTTCTGCTCGGTAAGTCCCGCTTGGCGACTCGGGTTGGGCCGACCGCCGCCACGCGGCCTTCAACACGCTTTGCGAACACTCTACACGTACGAGCTTCCCACAAGGGTCCCCCAACACCCTCCCCACCGCTTTCGCCCACCTCCGCCATTCTCCCACATCGCTTCCTCCGGAAAAAAACAAGATTCCTTCTTTAAATCTTATTTTTTCATGGACCCGAAAAAACATCATTCCTATCACCCTTCCCCCCCCTCATTTCCACAGGCCTGGAAAGAACCGTCTCCTGATCGTTATTAATGGCGGTCGAACTCGACATCACGGGCTCCGCAAATTAGCGCAGACGTATCACATCATGGTGCCATATGGGTCCTTGTAAGACGCCGCGCCATCCATTCACACCCCGTAAAATATGATGCGCTCGCACTTCCAAGAATACGATCCTTCATAACTTACTAAGAGACTGCGCTTTCAGAGCCGCGACCCCCCTGGGAAATACACGGGACTGTGGCTTGGAAGGCCAGCATCCCTAGTAAATAGGTGGAATTTCGTGCCCGCCTTTCTGAATGGCAAGGGTGCGCGCTCCCAGGACCACGATCCCTGGCAATTTGCAATCGGTCCAAACTTCGAGAGACCGGATCTCCAGTATGATACGTCGACGTCCTCGCTCCCAGCGTCTCGCTTTCAGGGTCCGTGGCACCTCGAAAACCAGAGTGACCGAAACGCTCCGAAATCTTGTTCACCCCTCCTTCCCTCTCCTCCTTCTCTCTCCTCCTTCTTCTCCTCCTCCTCCTCCTCCTGCTCCTCTCCTTTTCACCGCCTCTGAATTTTTGTTCTTGCGATCACATCGCGCTCTGCGTGGCACGGTGCACGGTGCGCCGTCCGTGCCCATTACTTCGTGTGGTCAGCCAACCTGCGCCTCCCGAGATGCAAAGGCATGTGAGGCACAACCGCAGACCCTCTCTGTCGGAAAGCACCCGGACCGAAGCAACGCACAGAAACACGAGCAACACTTAACCAATTGACTGACATGGGGGTCGGCTGAATGGCATAAACCTCTTGAATAAAGAAATGCGGTGGTGACAATCAGCAAACTGATGCCGCGTCTCATTCCTCGCCTCCTGTAACCCTTACGTCATTTGGACCGTGAGCGAAAACGTGGGCTCCCACCTCACAGCTGATGGTGCAATCCGAGATCGGGCATACCGCTGTCCCACAATCTGGTCGAACCTGCTCCCTGCTTCTGTCTCCTGTAGTCTGGGCTCCCCCTCTTTACCTCGCCCTCACTCCGTCTATCTTTCAATTTTCCCGTGCGGTTGGGTGACGTATTCTCTCCGCTGCGAAGCGCTGAGCGCCCGCCTCTTGCCCCACCCGTTCTCCTTATGGATAGATAGCTCCTCCCACTCTCACACCAGACTTGTCTGTAGGGCGGGCAGGGCGTTTCGCCTGAGACTTCCTCGCTATTTATAACCCTGAAGCTTAACAGTTGGCAACAGCTTCGCAGATGGAGGGCGGGTTGTTTTCAAAATGTGGCTCTCGCCTTAGCACCGCGCGCATTTGTGCAACACATATAAAACAATTATTGGATTGAGGGCGGTTCCTTTTCATAACGTGCCTCTCGCTTTAGCGCCGCGCGAATTCGTTTCAAACATTTGCAAGGGTTTCACGGATTGAAAACGGTTCCTTTTCAAAATGTGGCTCTCGTCCTGGCGCCGCGTACACTCCTTTTCAACAAATTCAAGAGTTTCACGGGTTCCCCTGGTCAATGTACCCGAAATGCTCGAGAATAATGTTTTGGCATGTTTTAATGTCTTCAAACGGTTGTCTTCCAACGCAGTAGCTCTCTCAATTGACATGAATCCTTGTTGGTGCCTAGGAAGAGGGAGCTTAGAGGGAGATTTATTCCACCACCGTTGATGACTCTTGGGTTGACACTGGTCCTCCTCCTCCTCCTCCTCTTCCTCCTCCTCGTCTTTCTCCTCCGTCTCCTCCCTTCCCTGTCGCTGCTGATGCTGCGCTGCTACCTGAGTGCTGAAAAAAAGGAACGATTAACTACGCGGCAGAATGTCAAATCCACCCGTGATTGCGAGGAGGGGATGGGTACGGAGAGAGAGAGAGAGAGAGAGAGGAAGAGAAAAAGAGAGAGAGAAAGACAGAGAGAGAGAGAGAAGCAGAGAACAAGAGAAAGAGAGAGAGAAACATAATACATAGAGATCTAGAAAGAGAGACAACAAAGAGAGCGCACCGGATGACAAGAAAGGGTGAGACTGAGAAGCCACAAAAACAAGAGAGGGGGGATGGGGTGGGATGGAGAAACGAGGGGTGCAGAGGGGCAGCGGGCCCGACGCCTCTGAGCTCACGGCTGGAGCGATGGCGATCGAACTTTATCAGGAGCGGTGGCAGCTGCGGTCACGGCGTGCGGGGGCGTCACCACCTTTCATCGGAGAGTAGCAGGCGAGGATGACAAGTCTCCCCAAGAATTACCTGATACCAAATCGGCCATCCCAGGGGACCTCGGTCGCGGATCGAATCCGCTGGGCGTTCCGCAGCTACGGGCTAAAATGAACCCACGAGGGTCCGCGCATCACGCGACAAACCGATTCAACTGCCCGGACAATCACCGATTACCTTGTAGACCCGCTTGCTACCGATACGGAGTCTGAGGGTGGAGAGATGGGGTGTGCATCAATTCCATATGTACTCCGACGGGGGGGCGTTTGTATTTGTGGACTATTTGCGACTACGCGGCATGATTAACTGAGACCATCTGTCAAGACGCCCAGCAATCATCCCCAGCCCGTTACCTCGCCCCTTCAAGTGTGCTAAACTCATGCCAATCAAACGCGATACCCCCTACAAGGATCAAGAGGAACCTGCGACATTGCAAAACGTGGGTAAATGATATGCGTGCGAACATAATAGCTACATTCAAAAGAGCGGCTTCACGACAGCACGCTTCTCACAAGCAACCAGAGAGATCGGCAAGGCTTCCCGTAGCAGCTGCACTGCGAAGCGTGCTATTCAGAGATGTACTCTGATAGTGGATGCATGGAGGCCGCGACAACGAGTACGGTGTGATGATGCGGCACGAAATGGACCCGATTGTGGGTACTAAGAGCGTTGAGAAGCGCTTGCGGGTAGTTTCTTGTGCGCACATGAACGAATTGGAACATGAACTATGAGACAGTCATGTATGATGTGATGAAGTGAGCACCACAGTATTGCTCAGAAGAGAACTGCACACACAATGTTGATGACGGCTGACCAACTGGCAACTTTTCAACTCGCGGATGAACGAACGAGTCGATGGTCGAGCAGGCGCTGCCGACACGGAAACAACAAGGGGCAACTATCCCAGCCCGCGGCGACGAGCGTCTACCTACTTGAGAGGACGCTGTAACGGCAGCCAGCGAAGGAGAGACGCAGCAACAATCGAGACGCCTGTGTCACCTACCACTTGAACTTACGACGGAGGGCCATGGAAAAGAAATCAGCGCGTGAACAGCGCGCGACAAACGTGCTGAGTCCCCTTCGATTTCTTCGTCTCAAATGCTACAGCTAGTTTTTTCTGGTGCGCACTGCTAGGATTTGTGGACATTTTTTGGCGTTCCTAGGGCTTGTCGCGTGACTCGAGTGGAGGTCAAGTGAAAACCATTGAAACGCATAACAATTTCAATGCTTGTGACATCAGACGTGGAACACGGAACTGCTCTGGGAGCCCTCTAGCACAAGGAGGACCTCCGACACCCAAGACGTCCCAAGAGCCCCTGGGACTGCCAAGAGATCTCCAAAACGCCCCAGGAGGACTCCAAGAAACTCTCGAACGAAATTCGAAGAGACTCTGAGAGGCGTTCAAGAGGCCTCTGGCCCCTCTGCTCGCCCTCCTCCATCTTCTCCTCCTCCTTTTCCACTTCCGTCTGCTCCTCCTTCGTCGTCCCTCTTCCCCCTCCCCCTCTCCCTACTCCTAAGCCTCCTCTTGCTCCTCCTCCGACTGCTCCTCAATCCTCCCCCTGTTGGGGTACGACGTCTTACCCAGTTTTTGGTTCCACTGCATTATCCTCCACATCCCTGAGCAGGGCAGCTCGTCTGGGCATCGTTTCTGAAAGGGTTAATGGAATTACGCCAGTCTCTGCTTTCCAATGTATGCCGTCCACGCTTCAGGCACGCGTGCGCGCTAGAAGCATCTCCGGAGGAGGGAAGCATCTGTGCCAGCGTCACGACGTTCAAATGCCCGCCGACCTGGCAGGTTGCAAAAGGGATCCCACCGTCCACCCGCGCCGCGTCGCTCCGCCGCAGTTCGATCGTCGTCTAGTCTGAATGCGCTCCATGGCGCACATGTCCGCCGCGCTAGCGCCGTTGAAGAGGCGCGTGCCGTGCTGCCGCTCTGGCGCACAAGGCGCGCCGCGGAGCAGCTTCGCTGCGCGCGCGAAGACAAGCGTGGCGCGCCGGTGCCTGCTGCTCGTATACACGCACGCCCACAGCGAACCCGATAATCCGAACTGGCAGACCTTAGAGTGCCGAAAGAAACTCAAAAGCCGCACGCGCTCAAGGAAAACGGGAAGGAGAAGGGACACGGGAACGAGGGGGACGGGAGAGGAACGGAAGTGCCGAACCCAAGCTCCTTTGCTCCTGAGCTTCGCGGGCGCGGCACGGAGGGGAAGGGAGGGGATGCCCATACCTGCTGCCATCTACCATCCCCGTCTACCATCCTTAATCGTCTCTGGGCAACCCCTTCAGAACGTGAAACTTGGCCTCTCGGGCTCGGTGCTTCACCAGCTCGCAAGTCTCCCGCTAGTGGCGGGTCAGTGCTAGGGTATTCGCCTCTGCGCACTCTCCTTGGTTTCTCCCCACACTTCCCACCCTAACTACCGTCCCAGTCTCCACCACCCCACAACACAACGAGATACTGTCCTAGTTGCAAGCATGCTAGATACAGCTGCGATTGGCATCCTGCATTCTTTTCTGATGCTGAAGAGAGGTGTAGTGGAAGGGACAAGAGGGGAGGATACTATAATGGGGAGGGTTGTTAGGCCGGGCCAACACGCCATGGCCTATGCACTTTATGGACATCAGGTTACTGGCTCTGCTCGCTCAACTTGGGACGCTCTGGAAGTGCCTCGAGCCGCCAGGCAACTCTGAGATTATGGATTGCCGCCTTCCCTCTTCCATGAACCCTCCACCCCGCCTCCTTACGAGCTGCTGGGCCACGCAACTGCTGAGAGGAGGTGGGAAGTCGATGAGGGGGGCGGGCAAGAAAGCACGTGTAGGAATCAAGAGTTGGCAAGGAGAGGGTGAACAGAGCAAACGCGACAGCTTGCTGTTGTGAGGCTGGGGGAACGCTTCACTCAACCACTGCCGCTCATCCATTCAAAAGCCTGTTCCGTCTAGCATCAGATTTGGCCCTTTGGGGCTGATCATTTTTCCCACTCCGGCCTTCGAACCCGCTCAGCAAGTGCTGTTACCTCGTGGACTGCTTTTCTGTACTGCTTTTCCCTCGCCGCCAGTATCTGGCGCAGCTCCAGCTCTTCCTGCACGTCGGAGGTGTTCTCGGCATCCTCGCTGCCGTCCTCCAGGTTGTTCGCGTGTATGCACTCGTCTTACTGCACCTCTACTGTGTCGACGACATGTTACTTCCTAGCGTTCTCTACCACGACGACCGCCTGGCAAGTGTCCTCCTGGGTGGCCTCAGCTATCTCGCCAGTCTGGGTTGACATCGTCTTTCCCTCCGTGACCTTGTTGATCACCTGCTGGGAGTCCTTCTCGCATGAGGCCTGCTCCTCGACAACCTGTCCAACCTGCTCGATCCGCTGCGAGAGCTGCAGGATGTCAGCCTGCATATCGTAGAGCATGGCTCTCAGGTCGTCAAGCCTGGCCGCTGGAGAACTTCGCGCCCATGGCACTCCTGGTCTGCGAGCTGCTGCTCAATCTTCTCGTCGTAGGTGTCCACGCTGCCGCTGCGCCTCGTAGTTGTGCGAGGTGTCGCCGTCCGAGGTGAGCGCGCCAGCGCTGCCCGTGCCATCTTCCGTTTTCTTGCGCGGCGCCGCCTGCGCCTCTGATGGCAGCCTGGGGTCTGGATGCGCAGTCTGGCGCCGTCCCGTTCGCAGGGCGGTCCACCTTTTGGCCAGGGCGGCCGACCCTGGGGACCGAGCGAGGGCTCGGCGTACCTCCTCCGAGGTCGCCTTCCGCCCCGACCCGAGCTGCTTCCCTGCTGAGGTCGCCTTCGCCCCAACCTGAGCTGCTTCCCTGCTGCATGCAGGGCGACCTCGAAAGTCTCCAGCGTCGCCGCTCTGCTAGACCCCGCAGTGGGCGCGTCGTCCGACAGCGAGCGTCCCAGCTGCGCCGCCTCCTGGACGTTCTCCACACGGTAGACACACAGGCCATGTCTCACCGCGACCCCTCGACAGCCTCGCGCGCGCGTCATCAGCGACAGACGTGCGAGCCCCCGCGAATTAAGCGGCTCAGCGCTATGCTGTGCGAAAGAAATTGAAACGAGCCGTCTCGCCCAGCATGGTTGCCAATGTGCAGACCGGCGTGCTGCGCGCCGCCATGTGCCGCGGGTGTGGAGGGGGCTGCTCGGAACACTCTGGGCGAAAACCCTGCGAGCGGTGTCTTGCGTAACCGTCTAAGAGATGTCCACGCAGCTTCTGTCGGACGGGGGGATCTGCGCACGCTGCGCCCCGTCGCCTCGCAGCTGAACGCGCGCGGCCCAGTCGTTGCCCGGGTGGGCCCACTGCTGTTTCAGAGGCGCGTGACTACCCCGTCCACAAAGCGAGAGCATCGGGGCTCGAGCCATCCAAGACCAGCGAAGAGTGAGTCATCGATGGCTATTGCGCATTGCGCGCCGCGCACCTGCGAATGGAGAGCCCTTTGTCTCCTGCCTGGCGGAGTGGCTTGCCGCAGTGGCCGGCGAGCAGCCTGGAGCTGCCGCGTGCCACTCGGTGCGATCAGGGTCAAGAATGCTGGCCGGGCGCCTTCTTATGACCCGAAGCGCACGCCAGCCCAGAAGCGGCTGGAACATATTTTCGCGTGCTTCACCGACGGCGGGCTTGGAATCAGCTGTGAGGTATAGCGCGCGACCGCCGTGCGGTCGGGCAGCTCCGCTGCCGTGGCCGCAAAGTGAGAAGGATGTTCAACGCTAATGCAAAGCGGACAACCGCGCGATGCTGGGGGCCATGTGAAACTACTTTGTTGCGCGCGTCGGTGTCGCGAGCCCCGATGCCGAGGCGCGTTTGATCCAGTGGGCGGGCGACGATTGCGAGGTGCGCGCTCTATCGCGGGGCGACGGCGGTCACGTGTCGTTTTACATCTAAAGAAGGGAGGCAAACGCTATTCGTGCCATGCGAAGCCTCCTGCGCACGCTGACAGGTCGCTGGGGCATGCATTTGGGCTACCTGGGTTAGGGGTGGTCGGAGCTGGACGCCGCGGACGATGCTGCGGGCGGCGCAGTGCCATGCGCACCAGAAGTTCCACGGGAGGGTGAGCAGTGCGCCAATGCGCGTGCTACGGGCGCGCGTGCTGCGGGCGCCGCAACGTCATGCGCGCGAAAAGGTCCAACGGAGGGCCCGCGGCCCGCGGTTGCGCCGCAAAGATCCGCCTGACCACGCGGGGGGCGTCGTGCGCCTGTGCCTGTCGCCCGACTTGGACTGGCGTGCGCCAGGAATGTGGGGGGGGCCTGGAGGAGACGCAGCTCGCTTGCTAGCTCGCCATTGCGACGCCTCTCCTGCCAATGTATGTAAATTCGCGGGGTGAACGCCAGCGAGGTGGGCTTGGTCGCGCCGCGTCCCGCCAACCAGCCGCACCAAACGAGCCCTCGCATGAGCCCGAAAAGTGAGGCCGGGCGCCGGCCGCCAGAACAGCTGCGCTGGGGATGGAGGCACCGCCCACGCCGCGCATGCGCAGTAGGGGCGCGCGGCGCCTCACTACTCCCCAGCGGCTCCAAGGGCCGTGAAGTGCGAGTCTCAAGCGGGGCCGGGTAACATCGCCAATCGGCGTGCCACGCAACTATCGACCACGACGGCGTCGGACGAAAAGGGATGCGCAGCTCGGCAAACAACTCCAGAAGAGGCTGCCGGGTCATGGTCACGTGTGTGAGCCACCCGCGCACTCGCCACAACATGCGCGACCCCGCTCAAAAGCGACCGAAACGCGCTCCGAATCGCAGCCGTGTCGGGCCAAGAAGAACGTTTATTGCTGGAATGATGATGTGATGCTAATAATAATGATAGGGCCAGGAGGCTCATTCAAGGCTGCGGGCATATCGGTCGACCCAGTGAATGCATCCAGCGGAGCTACGTATCTGCGCTGCATCAACCTGTAGAAGATGTGGTTGCCTCCGAAAGTTCAGCGGCCCCTACAAGAGGCTCATCAATCTACAGCTGTGGTGCAAGAATTCAGCCCCCGTGTGGCATGCAACGCGCGACTTCCGAAGGGCTGGAGAACTAGAACAGCTGCGCTGGCGCGCCAGCTGCGCGAGAAGCACGGGCTGCGCGGGGGCATCAGGGATTTCCTATAAACGTTCAATATAAAGGGTAAGGTTTTCTGCGCGCGTGCCAATGCTCATCAGCGTCACTATCAAGATGCACGCACGAGTTCATCAACTTGCACGGCTTTCTGACGAGATTCAACGAACACGCTGGTGATGTCGTCACCCGTCGGACACGAGGTGCATGACAAGGTCTCCTGGTCAGGGTAAAATGGTTCGGGCGCGATGGGGCTCGTTGTGTGCTTGGGTAGGGTTTGTGGGTGTGCCCTCGTTCTGCAACAAGCCAGACGATCGGGGATCTACTGACTTGGGTCAATCCAGACCCAGGCCAGTCAAACTTTGCAAGATCCTGCAGGATCCTGCAGCCACCTACACCCAGACCCGGGTCAGTGCGCCCCTGGCTCTTGAGGATCCTGCAGGATCTGGCGCACTGGCTGACCCCCGTTTGCAGTGCCCCTCGGTCCCAGACTCCCGACGTCATGATTTTTTCATAACGGTCTCGACCCATTCCCTGGGACCAGTTTTTCGTCCTGATTCGTTTATTGACGGTCCCGAAGCCTGGTAAGGGCCCTCAGAAGCCGAAAGTCGTGAAAACCTTCCTTCGTGTTTTTTTCGTGACTCGATGCTCCCGAGACGATACCATGCTAAAGGCCGGGGACCGCTGGTCAAGACTAAGGACAACGACAGACCACTGCCGGCACCACCAGAGACCACAGTCGACTGAGTCGAGACCGCGCGACGCGCCCACGGGCCACGGGCCAGAGAACACGAGCCACGGCAAGAGACCACGAACCACGACAAGAGACCACGGGCTACGGATTCGGGATCGCGACAGCGAGCCAGCATGAGAGACCTACTGAAAGGACTCTCACTGCGTCGCCGTTCTTCGGGAATCAAGTCTGTCTGTCTCTCTCTCTCTCTCTCTTCCCTTTCCCTTTATCATCCTCTCTCTCTTTGAGCCCGTCCTCCTCCCGCCCCTGCACCCCTCCCCCCTCCTTGCTTCCCATCCCTCCCCACTCTTCCCTCTCTCTCCCTCCCCCTCTCTCTCTCCCCCCCTCCTCCCTCTCCCTCCCTCCTTCTCACTCTGCCTCCCTGCTTCCCTCTCTCTCTCTCCTTCCTTGAGGAAGCGAAGAAGACCTTGGCCCCGTCGATGGCCGCCAAAACAGCCGCGGCCGTGCTGGTGCCCACCGCGTCCTCCAGGCCAGCCAGCACGGTTGCCCTGCGGCGAGCCTTCGGACGAAGACGACGACGAGGACGACGGGGACAAAGGACGAAGAGGCTTCTGGGCCTCGTTTGACCGTCTTAGGCCTCCAGGGGCCTCAATTGGGAAGAAGTAGAAACGAGAGGCGCCAAGGAGGGGAAGGGGAAAGCGAGGAATCGAAGGGGGGTGGGGACCAGCGAGGGGGGTGGGGACCAGCGTGAACTCAAGATACACCAGCGATGTTGCAACAACCCCTCCCTCCGCAGACCTTTTCATGGATACTGCAAGAATTTCCTTCCATTGCGGGAGAAGGCCCATGCACAACAACAACAACCGTCTGAGAAGCTTCAGGCGTGCCAAAACACAATTCCTGGGACTTCAACGCACCGGATGAACGTGACTGCTGCCTCCTGATAAACTTAAAACGTGCCGGAACACCAACCCTTGGACTTCAACGCCGCGAATCATCGTGACTGCTGCGTCCTAGTAATCCTAAACGACCCTGGTACACCATTACTGGGACTTAGACCATACAACAAATCCTTGGATGTGTCGCGTCCGTTTGAAACGAATGTTTGCGGCGCTCAGGCGAGAGCCACATTTTGAAAAAGAGCCGCCGTCCATCTTTAAAACTGTTACACACTTGAAAAACGAATGTGCGCGGCGCTCAAGCGACAACCACATTTTGAACATGTCCCGCCCCACAGTTTGAGCATGTCGCGCGATTAAAAAAAGCGAATGTCTGGGGCGCTAACGCGGGAACCACTTTTTGAAAACGGCCCACCCTCTATCCGTGAAGCTGTTGCACATGCCAAACTTCAGGATCACAGATAATCAGGAAGTCTCAAGCGAAACGCCCGGACGGCCCTACCGACACGTCTGCGACAGGGAAGAGTTATTCCCCAATCAGAGCTTGCCTCTGTAGGGGTCCTAGCGGATTTATATGGTTAGGTTAGGTTTGTCGCCGATTTTCGCTGCACGCCCGGGTGCCAGGGTGTCCAGGGGTGCCCGGGGCCCTGGTGCATGGGGGGTGCCCGGGGGTGCCCAAGTGCCGGGGTGCCCGGGTGCCCAGGTGCCTGGGCGTGCCTGGGGGTGCCCGGGGGTGCCCGGGGGTGCCCTGTAGCCCTAAGCCCGATAGCCCTATAGCCCTAAAGCCCAATAGCCCTACAACTCTATAGCCCTATAGCTCTATAGCCCTATAGCTCAATAACCCTATAGCCCCCTAGCCCTATAGGCCTGATTGGGGTTTTCCTCTGGTATCATTCATAAGGAAAAAGGATGGGGGGGAGTTTGAAAGGGGAAAGGGGATGGGGGAGGAGGAAGAAGGGAGGAGGAGGAAGAGGAGGAGGAGGAAAAGAAGAAAGAAGAAAAGGAGAAGGATGAAGAGGAGAAGAGAGCAGGAGGGTGGAACAAGAGGTGGATGGGAAGAAGAGGGAAGGGATAGGAAGAGGGGGGAAAAGGCAAGCTGGGTGCGCTCGCGCGATATCTGGCTTCGCACCCCTCTCACTCATCCCTTCCAAATGTGTTGAAGCTTTCTGGTATCTGGCGACTGGGGTGTCATAGTTGCACAATCCCACCAAACCCTTAAGGCGTGCGTGGTTTAGGGCGCTTCTTCTTCTAACCCCCCTTCTTCCTCTTCGGGGGAAGGCTTATCACTGCTTCGTATTGATAAGCACCCCCTCCCCATCACGACCGGGAGCCAACCCGAACCCATACCAACACCCCCCCCCACAATATCTGTCAACAAAAACAATACAACATGTACTTTACCTCCAACCGCGACCCTTTCGCATTTGTTTTCCCCCTACATCCTAAGTGGGGTTCTTGGTTTCTTTGGACACCCCGCGCAGTACAACCTCAACCCCGCTGTCCTCATATTTTCTTTTCGCACCCATCCACCCACCATAATCATCATCGTCATCACCACCATGACGATCATGAGCATCAAGATCATGATCGCTATTATATATCTATTCGCACACAGTCATCACACACTCGCGCACTCATCTTGAATAAATCTCTAACGGGAGCGGCGTCTGTGAGTGAATCGCGGGGAAGTTTCAAGCGGAAGCCCTTCCCCATGGGGTCCCGACCTACATGTTTGAATGCGAGGCGGCAATCGGAAACCATTGACAAACACAGGTTTGGTGACACCTGGGGCCCTGAATCGAGAGGAAGTCTCGAGAGGGAGCCTTCGTCCTGAGCAAACTAGAAAGGATGTCTCGGGCGCTCACCCGTGTGTAAGTGAGTCGCGAAGAAGTCTCCAGCCTCTATGTTTGAATCCGAGGCGGCCATCGGGAAACCGCAAAAAACACATTTGGTGACACTGGGGGGCCTGAATCCAGAGGAAGTCTCGAGCTGGAGCCTCGCTGCTGAGCAAACTGACATGATGCCTCGGTCACTCGCTCGTCTGTGAGTGAATCGCGAAGAAGTCTCAAATGGGAGCCCCTCCCTATGGGGTCCCAACCTCTATGTTTGTATCCGAGGCGGCCATCGGGAACCCCCTCAAAAAACATGTTGTGACACCTGGGGTCCTGAATCGAGAGGAAGTCTCGAGCGGGAGCCTCGTTCCTGAGCAAAGTGTAAGGATTTCTCGGGCGCTCACTCGTTGCGAGGACGTCTCGAGCAAGAGTCCCTCTTCATGAAGTCCCCGCCTTCATGTTCGAATCCGAAGCGGCTGTCGAAATACCGAATGAAGTCACACATTTGGTGACACTTGGGAGCCTGAGTCCTATGGAAGTCTCGAGCGCGAGCCTCGTTCCTGAGCAAAGTGTGGGGGTGTCTCGAAGGGGAGCATCGTCTCTGAATGAATCGCGAGGAAGTCTCAAACGGACCCCCCCCTTTCGGGTCCCCACCTCATGTTGGTCATCCGAGGCGGCCATTGTTAGACTGGGAGCCTGGATCCCGATGAAGTCTCGAGCGTGAGCATGTCTCGAGGATGTCTCGAGCGCTCGAGCGCTCAGGAATCTCGAGCGCTCAGGAATCTCGAGCGGGAGCCCCTCCCTATGGCCCCCCGCTTCATGTTATCAACGCGAAACGCCAGCGGGATTCCATGTAAAAGCGCACGTTTGGTGACACTGGGGGGGACAGAATCTCGAGAACGTCTCGAGTGGGAGCGTCGTTCCTTTTTCGAGCGTCCTTCGTAATCCGAGTCGGCCGCCTTCAGTCAAGATCGTAAGCGTCGGCAAGGGCCAGCAAGTACCAGACATGAAGAGAACCTCCGCATTCACAAAGACGACGATGAATAATACTTCCAAATTGGTTTGGACGATTCTCATGTGGGGTCATACCGCCGGAATAATGACAAGGACGGCGGGGGGCCCTCACATTGCTTGCTGCGCTCAAGCCAACCATCCCCTATCAAACAACTGCCCGAGACGTACACACCCCCTTCTCCGCGCGAGGCGCATCTTTGTATGAGCGCTGCTAACAAAACAGCACATTGCTAGATACGTACAATCTGCGCTGCCCTTATCTCCGCCGTGCCTCCCAGGGGCCGGCGAACCAAAACGACAATTGCTTGCGCAATTCGCAGCGCCCCAAAAAGGCACGGGGTCTCGTCTGGATGAGCGTGGCTCCCGACTCTGCTGGACCTCCCAGGAGCCCGCGAACATGGCGACATTGGCACAATTCGCACTTACCCAGGGGGTAGCGAGGTCTCGTCTGGGTGCGCGTGGCCCCCGACTCCGCTGGACCTCCCAGGAGCCCATGATAATGGCGACCCTTGCGCAGTTCGTAGCTACCCAGGGAAAGACGAGGTCCCGTCTGGGTGCGCGTGGCCCCCCGACTACGCCGGACCTCCCAGGAACCCACGAAAGTGGCGACCCCTGCGCGGTCCGCAGCCTTCCAGGGCGCAGCGAGGTCTCGTCCGGGTGCGCGTGGCCCCCGACTCCACTGGACCTCCCAGGAGCCCAAGAAAGTGGCGCCACTTGCGCAGTTCGCAGCTACCCAGGGAGCAGCGAGGTTTCGTCTGGGTGCGCGTGGCCCCTGACCCCGCTGGACCTTCCAGGAGCCAACGAAAACGGCGACACCTGCGCAATGCGAAACCACACATGAGGGCGGCGAAATACCGTCTGGGTGCGCGTGGCCCCCGACCCCGCTGGACCTTCCAGGAGCCCACGAACGCGGCGACACCTGAGCAGCTCGCAACCAACCAGGGAGCCCACGAAAAGAGCGACAATTGCGCAGTTCGCAACGACCCAGGGAGCAACGAGGTCCCGTCTGGGTGCGCGTGGCCCCCGACTCCGCTGGACCTCCCAGGAGCCCACGAAAGTGGCGACCCTTGCGCAGTTCGCAGCCTTCCAGGGCGCAGCGAGGTCTCGTCTGGGTGCGCGTACCCCCCGACTCCGCTGGATCTTCCAGGAGACCAAGAGAGTGGCGACACTTGCGCTGTCCGCAGCATTCCAGGAAACAGCGATGTCTCGTCTGGGTGCGCGTGACCCCCGACTCCGCTGGACCTCCCAGGAGCCCATAAACGCGGCGCCACTTGCGAATTTCGCAGCCACCCAGGGAGCAGCGAGGTCCCGTCTGGGCCCGCGTGCCCCCCGACGCCGCTGGACCTCCCAGGAGCCCACGAAAGCGGCCAGGGAGCAATGCATGAGGAGGCATGGAAGAAACGAACGCGGGAGGAGACGAGGTGGGGACCACATCGCTCGATTCAAAACGAGAGCCCAACACAGGAGGGTTAGGAACGATACAACTTACACTTTGCCTCCGAATCTGGAGCATGCGCGGGAGCCCCGTGTCCAATTTGCCTCGGTTTTCCCCACATCCTACATGGGATTCTGGTTTTCCCTGGACACCCCCGCGCAGAAATTCGCCACCGTGCCTCTGGGCACGGGTCCTGAAGAGTCTTGAGAGGGCCCAGACCCCAAGCTCTCCAATATACCAAGGCTCCCCGCGTGCCCCCTGTGCTCCAAGAAGGTGTTCCCGCATGACCTTTTCGGGGCCGCGAGCAAGACGGCACAAGAGGCCCCGAGAGGCTCCCCAGACGGTTCGAGAGGGCCTCGAGTCGCCGAAAGATCGTTCC